GCAGAGGAGACGCCGAGTAGGCGACGCGTCGCATATGAATACATTTGCAGGGGCCAATCAGCCTTCCTATCTGCTTAGGGGTCCTGTAGCCTCCCCAGTGTTGAAGAGAACTTTTGAGATGAAGCATATATGGAGGCAAGTCTTAATGTGCCATTTTGGTGCTCCGCCGCGGTGGTCTAGTGGCTAATGTACTCGGCTGCTGACCCGCAGGTCACGGGTGGCACCTGCATTTCCGATGTAGGCGGAAATGTCGTAGGCCCATGTGCTCAAATATGGGTGCACGTTGAAGAACCCCAGGTGGTCGAAATTTCCGGAGCCCTCCACTATGGCGTCTCTCACAATAATAGGGTGGTTTTGGGATGTTCAACCCCACATATCAAATCAAATCAAATGTGCATTTTTGAGAACGGCAGAATAACATAAACACATCTTGGTTTGTGCTCCTCATGCAGGTACTTATCTACAAGCATTCTATCATCCACATTAATGTGCCCCTCGAACAATATAAACAAGTCACCCTTGACGACAGACTTTTGTCAGTACTCGAGTGCCGACACGATCTGTATTCGGACAGAAACTCAGCGAAGCCCGACCAAGGCCTTATTGAACTTTTTGCGTGGCAGTGGCCTAATAAATAGGCTATAGCTTCCACACCTCTAATCATTTCTTTTTTTTTGGGGGGGGGGGAGGGGCGTCTACATTTCTCTCTGCTTTCCTTTTTATCTTCCTTCCCCCATTGCCTTAGTGCATGGTATCAAACCGAATGCTACAATTCTCGTTGACGTTTCTTTCAATTTATTTTCTCTCTCGATAAACAGAGTATATAGTGTGACGTTGCAAATGCGCAATGGCATCACGTTCCGTCCAATCAAGAAAAAAATCCCAACTACCTCTGCCCTATCTTATTTAACCGACTCAAACACTTAGACTTGAAAATGGTGAAGATTGTACGGTGTAATTGACAATTTTGTTGTTCAAATAACAAAAGAGCGAAAGTAAAAACTTTTAAAATATGAAAAAGTGAGAGAAGACAGCGACCTCTCGAGAGGCTGACAATGAGTGGCAGGTTTTACGTACTACTTCGAAAACGAGAGTGATGAACACAGGAAGAGGAGGGAGATAAAGCACACGGGTAAAACGTCTTAATATCAAGCTGTGGGTGTGAATCGTATTCGTTTCGCATTGACTTCACTCATTTATTGAATGCGTGATAGCAATGGAATTATAACGTGAAATTGTATTGCTGTTTTCTATATGGACAGTTCGGGGGTATAATCAAGGCTGTGCTTTTCTGCTGGAACGTTTTCCGTACCACTTCGTGTCATTCTGTCACTACTAAAACGTTAGTGCTTATTGACGTGGTAGCGACACAATAGTTGCACTATTTTCAATCATGTAAATCTCTCACCTTATAAGCCAACATGCACTTATCCACATTTTTGCTTTGCTCTTATTACACATTCAGAGATGTACACTATAGATCAAATACTAACTATTAAATTACACTAGCAAATGAAGCCTGCTTTAATTCAAGTGAAACTTCAAGTGTGACACTTCAATGACTTTATTTTCACTTTCGCGCTGTTTATTTTGTTTAGATCATCTTAATAGTAACCTTGCGAGTCTAGCCATAGTACATAGAGCGCTCTTCAACAAATTGTACAGTCACGTGTTCCACTGCCAGTCACGGACATAGCATTTGCTATTGTAGTATGTCACCGTGCACTTCACTCAGTGACTACACTTTGCGTACATCGTAGGATCAGCACCGACGCCACTGAAGCCACGCTGCGTTTAGTCAGATGACAAGCGAGATTAACATTACTGAAGTTCTTGTACCTATGCTAACTTGCTGTGATGGCTTAGTTACGGATTTTACTTCGGCTAAATCAAACCAGAACGCCTGGGATATCGCGTTCATGCTCTTGCACATACGTTTTAGTGCAAGGTACCAAGAACCTTTCGTTTGCAGTGTTGATTGCACAAAAAGCAATCCTAAAATGGGCAGTATCAACCTGTTTGTCATTTAATTCCTCCCTATGCTGAACGGACTACATTAAACGATAATATCCATGCCCATCATTTCGAATGGGCATATTTACGCGTTTTGTGCCCTTGCCCTAATATGCAATCAAAGCTTTAGATAGAATAGACAATCGCCAATTGTCGGAAGAAAGGGTATTAGGACACTGGCCGAGACCGTCCTCTGCACGCAAGGCATGAAGAGCGTTGTTGTGCTTTCTGCGGGCAAGTGATCTTTGATACAGACTGTAAACAGCGTCGTGGATCGTCTGATGACCTTCTCTCCATTTTTTTACGTCTCTTTTCTCTCATCCTTTATCCCCCTTACACCCTTCCCCAGTACAGGGTAGCCAGCCGGTCTGAGAGCTGGCTAACCTCCCTGTCCTTCCTCATTTATTCCTCCTCCTCCTCCTCCTTCGTGAGGTGTTTTTGGTTCAGGTCTCAGCAACTCCCATAAGAAACTGCTCTCTGGCAGCTATCTTGACCTCTATTTCTTTCTCTATTTCTTTCTTTCCAACCTTTTCATTCATACTTTTCCCACCTAAGTGTAGAGGAGCCAATCTGGCGAGGCCATAGCGAAATTCTCTGAATTTCGCTATAACCTCGCCAGATTAGCTATACTCTGAATTTTGCTGTTTATCACTGCTTCTGTTCGCAGTCATCATCACGGCTGTGTTTTGTGCTTACCAACACAAGTGTCCTCGACTGTAGTACAGTAAAGCATGCCCACATGACGTCGACCTGCTTTTCTTAGAAAAACAATTTGTTTTAAATATGTACTACAAATTGTGTCTGACTAGTTGCGATAGTCGATATGCGATGGCACGGAATATGGAGCAGCTGGGGCATCTTTAACACACATGTACCTTAAAACGTCGTAGGTTCCCATTATTACTCTAGAACACGTAAGTCAAGTGCGACAAGTACTATTATAATGTTAGCCCTTGCATTTCGGCGTGAACTTGCTTCGTAAAATGTAATCAATACGAAAAGTGACTTAAATTGTATTTCAACGTAAACTTATTTCGGAAAATGCAATGAATACGAAAAGTGACTTACCAATAGATGAACATTCCTTTTTTAATGCATGAAACATTCATGTTCCTAATAGAGTACTTGGTTGGAATGTTCGAACTTAGCAACACTAGAACGCGCGCTACTCTGTCTAGAAATACAGGACACTTCATGTGGAAACATGAAGCATTCTTCTGCATAGCAAAAAGTTTGGGGTTGGCTTGCCGGCCATGGTGGTCAATTTCGTTGGAGAGGGGGGGGGGGGGACAGTTGCGAATTGCGAAAGTTGGCACTGAGGAGTTATGCAGACCCCACCACGAGGGGCATGCGAGAGGAAAATGTTTTGTACGTAACATTCAAGAGTACGGTTCGTAAGACAGTACACCAGTTGCAGACAGATCTTCCCTGCCATTTAAAATGCTCGTGCAATAGAATCATCTCTGAGACAGTCACTAAGATACCTTCTTTTATTGGTTGGATGCTTCACGGGAGAACCTTAAACCTCTCTGTGCCCCTTTTCTCTGTGACACACAGGTAGAACACTACTGGTGTTCTTCAAGAAAAAAAGAAGAAGAAAACGCGAGACTAGCCTTCCACCGCTTGGGGGCACCCACTTCGCATTCTCCTTTCCTTGTTGATGTTCCAGGCAATGTCACCGACAGTTGCTAGGTAACAGTGCAGACCTTCATCAACGGACTGCAGTTGTTCTCCTCTTCATTCAATTGCTTAGACACTCCTGTATTGCGGGACTCCAAATAGGAACAAGCCATTAGGCGCGTCCGCGACTGATCCAGTATATCTTGTAAAATTTACTTCAAAGAAAACTAGGCAGAGATACCTTAGCGTAGAAGTATCACAGGTGAACCCAACACGCACGCACATAAGCGTGCAATCACATGGTGACCCCAGAAAAATTGAAAGCTCGTATTCTTATAGGGGAAAAGTAGTTGAGGCAGAACCGGGGTGAACGGCCATAACACCCCTTCGCGCGATATATTTAGGAACATGGTAAAAAATTTCAAGTGATGAGATTTAATCCGGAGATCTCCTCTATTAAGCATCGCATGTCAGAAAACACTGCCGAGTTTCAAGCGCAAAAACCAACAGTTCCGCTTAGCATAGACATAGCTGGTACCAACAAGCGACCATACATGTCAATGACATCAACACACACGAAAATATAAAAGAAATGAACTCACAAGACCCTGTTTTCGCTATTACAGCAATTGGTTAAGTTAAAAGGCTATTGATTTATGTTAATCACCTGCATCGGGGATCTCTTAAAAGAAGCACATAGACGATAGTTCATTTTCCACTTTAAAACTCTCTAATCTTTTTCCCTAGTGTAGGTAGCATAACGAACTTTCTGGATTGGTTAACATTTCTGCCTTTCTTTTCTTTCCTGTTCCTTACTTCCTTCCTTTATTGTACGAATCTATTAAGATATCCAGCCTCACTTGACGCTGTTAATTACCACTAATTTTGTTCTATTCCTCTCATGACGGCGTTATAGACTAGCTAGCGTCCCTGCCTTTCCATTCTCTCCTGTTCCCTTCTTCCTAAATCTCTTTACTAAACGCAACAAGGGGATTGAAGATAACGCGCAAACGTTGACGGAATCGGTTAGGCACTGAGTGACTTGAAGACTATTTTATTTAATCTATAACGAGAAAACAGGCATTATTTTTCAGAATATTTAAAACTAGCGCATTATCAATCCTCTCGTCATGACCACAAATTTAAAGTACGGCCATACAACCCCAGAACGGATCTGTTTAAGCATTCCTATTTTCCGCAAGCCGTTGTCGAATGGACTATGTTACCAGCTGATTTAGTTGGCCGCAAGCCTGCGGATTCATTCTATGAGCCCCTCGCAATAATGACTAAGATGGCGCTGCGGGTAATGTTCCAAGTAAATAAAAAAATTAGTAGACTGAAATGTTTCAATAAAGTCTCGCACTTACTCTGTATAGCCGGGAAGACCGGCGTCGGGTGGTGTTGCGGTTGCTGAGGTGGCGGTGGAGGCGGTGGAGGCGGCGGCTCGGGTCTCACGCCTCGCGCGATGAGTCCCGCCGCGCCGCAGGTCGGGGCCGACGCGGACGGCGGCGCCGAGAAGGACCTTGGCACGGGCGCCGAGTAGCGGTGGTAGGCGGCTGTCGGAGGACCAAGCTCCGCGTAGGAGCACGAGAGTTGGCACGCTGCCGATTCCATGCACGGCTCGAACGCGGCGCTGGCCGCAGCAGCCTGGTTCAAGTATCCGTAGTCCATGGCCGAAACGTTCTGTTGCCTTCTACTCCAGCGTCGCTCAATCTTCGCGCAATGAATTGACACCGCTAGTCTCTACGGCCTCTATAATGCAGCGTGCGATAGAAACGCAGATCAGATCGTTTTGTTCAGCTAGAAACACCTAACGAGGGCATCTCAGGCTCCCGGTCTACTGGTCGTCAATCACATCAATTGAAGCTTTTCAACAAAGTGTTCCAAAGTTGACGGTACCGTCTGCCCGGTTTGTCCTTTAACAAATGCGGACCATGGTATCTAGCTGGGAAAGCTGCAGTCGTCCAATCAAGTTTCAGTGGTAGCGAAGTCCACGTGGAGGTCCATGTTTTGTAATGAACGCGGATAATTAGCTAATCCATGTAAAATTCGAGACTATTGCGGTTGTATCGTACCAGAGGAAGCAATCTGCCAGACCACGGCGAAACGTCAAAGGAACATTGCAGATCGAGGTGGGCCACGTATACCCTGTATTTCTGACCCAACCTTATGAATTATTTGATCACACCTAAATATGAACGCGAAGTCCTTGAGATCAGGATAAAATCTCACCTTAGTCGATTCGCGGTGCTTCGTGCGGTCAAATGTGCGTGGTAACGCGAAAAGTCGATGCCCAGCGAAATTGGCTCAGTGCGAGTTCTGTTAGGCCTGGCGCTCGGGAAATCGTAGCGGTACGACGAAAAAAAAAATAATTAGCCGGCGGCTGCGTTTCCTCCGGCTCGCGCTATCGGGTACCGTGTAGTCACCGGCTGTAGAGAAGTACCCGGCACAGAAAAGTACGCGTACCCAGTCACACGCACAGCACCAAGAAGGCAAAACCACCAACGCCGCCGCAACACACGGCCTGAGGCGCCCACGAAGCTCCCTGCACGGCACGTTTTCCCCCCGGTGAGGCGCGGTGTTTTGATCGAGGCATCGGGACTCCCCCAGCGCTTTATAGGAGGCTCCTCCTCCGGGAGCAGCGCAACCTTCCTTCCCCACGCTCCTCACTCTCCCTCTGTCGCGCGCAGCTATCCCGAACGCGCTCCCCTTCCCGCTCTCCCCACGGCTCTCCGTGGTTTCCTCGGCATCTCTCCTTGCTCTCTGACGTACGCGATCCACGTTTGTATCCTTTCCTTCGCACCGAATTCACACCTTTATTTTCGATTACGCAGTCTTTTTTTTTATATATAGTATTCAATATAGTATACACTATACGTTCGTTAGAAGGGCTTTTGAAAGCACGACGACATTTAGCGTACCAAGCTGATAGCATATGCTGGAAAAGTAAACATATTTTCTCTCATTGCTCTCCAGACTTGACAGCGTCGACAGAGGAGTTGTATCTGATTTCCGTGTCTCGTATGTACACTTGTACTATGAAATGTTTTGTATAAGTTGCATACCAGCTTGGAATTATGCCCGACTGCTATGGTCTCAATATCGCGTCTTTTGTAATCATATGGAGGTTTTGGGACGTTAAAACCCCCCAATATCATCATCCTCATCGCGTTCTCGAAGTAGAAACTGCCAATATTGAAAATGTTCACAGCATTGTGGTTTTATTAAGGACATTAAAACGTTGATTTTTTACACAAAGTTAAGCTTACAATAGGGTAATTAGTTTCTACTGTAGCAAGAGTGACATGCCGACCTCTGCCACGACGACTCTTTTTATGCGCGCGCGTGCGTTTTCGTGCGTCTGTTCGGTGCATCTGCCGAATTGTGCGCGTAACAAAGGAATGAATAAGCATGCATCAAATAACCTAACCACATGATATCCTTTAGTGTTTAGCGAACGGAAGAAGAATCAAGTGCTTCACGAGACGTTACAAACAAAACGGAAGCTTTTCTTAACTCATACATGTATGGTTAAACTATAGCATTTTTTCGTCACCGAGATTCAGAAATAGTTATAGATGATTTAACTGCGAAGCAGTTTTGGTCGAGTTTTTCCACTTCACCCGCCACTTCTTTGTAAGCAACTTTGCAAGCAACTTTGTAGCAAACAAAGTATTTTTTGTAAGCAACTAGCTTCACTGTATGTCAAGCGGAGTTGGCTAAAATATCTGCTTGACAAATACCAAATAAGATGTCGGCATTTTAATCCGATTTTTATTAATCGACAAGTGAAGGGGGAAAAAACACCACGCACCTCCACGAAGAAGGAATCATCACTAGTGGGAGAAGCTCTGGGTATCTTATAGGTGAGTAACCGTGTACGTTACCGAAGCGTTGCCTCGTATAATGTAAATTGAGTGACAAAGTGTACAATATAAATATAAATTTATTTCACCTTCCAGGGACCTCAAGCAATTAGAGATTGAATGGATCAATTTTTGGGGGTTCTATGGAGTGCGCTTTAGCACGTTGCGGGCCGCTCCCACGTCGAAGCAGAAAGACCAAGTCTCTTAGCTGCGTCGAGGGCCCGTCAGACAGTCGGACTTAGAAAATTGCTGAAGTGGAGGATATGACTCGAACGCGAATCCAAGAATCCGCCATCTTATCGGTGGCAAGAAACCATTTTAGTATGGGTAGTTTGTTGACACGTATAGTGCTCGACGTGTACCTTTGAATTGCAGGTTTCCTTGAAAAGCCTGGGCACGTTTTTGCAGAGGTCAACTCATCTATACTCTTCCTGATAGGTTATTTTTGGCGGTAACAGTGAACTCTTACCTCATATTTAACCTATATGTCTACGTTTAAGTCTATTGTACAACCCTTTTTTGTGTGTATCATTCATGCTTCGACTGTAGAAACGGTTCCATGACATGAACACAATTAAAGACAAGGCCAGGTCCCAAGGAGCTTCGCCCTCAAGAAATCGTTTTTTAATCAACCATCACTTCAATATAAGACACGCTAATTAATTAAACTTAGATATTTTACGAGCACAATTAGCATGAACCACGAGATACACCTGCCTATACGCTGCGAAACGTATATGAAATAATGTTCTTTACGCCGTTTATTATATATAAGGGCTATTTTTTGTGTGTTTAAAAAATGAATTATTCCATATACGTCATTTCATACTACGTTTCATGCGAAACGTGTATGAAATAATGTTCTTAACGTCATTTATTATATAGGAGTGCTATATCTTGAATGTTTTAGAAAAAGGAATCATGAAACCTATAATCTACAAAGCAGCCCACATTCTCTAATGCAAGTCTTTTTTTATTTCCCTGCCTTCTCAGCATGTTTTTATTAAGTTCACTATTCAAGTTGACCCAAACGCTATAGCTACATTAATTATTGATATTCACAGTAACACAACTAGACGATATGTCATTCCATTATCTCCTCTTAACTCATCATTTGGCTCCATTGCCTTCCCCGGGACCATTAGACCAATACCTATGCCTCTCTAATTGCTGATCGCGTCCTTCATCCTGTCTCCTAATAAAACAAAAGCAAAAAAGATGATGCAAACTGTGACTTTCTTTAACAAAAGTAAAGCGGCACACTTGACGGGAAACTCGGCTGATAGATAATCTTTTGAATACTGGTGAGGCGGTTCCAGCCCGATCAGGCCGTTTGAAAGCCATCGATTAAAATCCGTTCACTTACAACCCCACTGTGATGACGCAGCAGAAATGAGAAAGCAGTGAGACTGCTATAAAAAGTGATTCACGTGCGTAGCAAACACCCCCACCCCCCTTAAAAAAACACCGAATAAACTAAAGATTAAGTAGAGAAGCCTATTTCAATACCGTTGTGACAAATATCTCCTCAAGTTGAACGCCTGCCTCGGCCATCTTGAACAGCGCGTGTGCAAGTTTGGCGCGCAGGAGAGTGCAGGGCAATAAATAGAAATCGGCGAAGTGCGCCAAGCGTGGGCGCGAGGCTGGAGTTCTCCATAGGTAGACGCGAGAGGGAACATGATAAACGGCATCGCGGCGGCAGAGTGAAAGTTCCAGGTCCCCCGCGTACTCCGAGTTTGTTCAGCGCCACGGCCAGGAGGTGTTCTGGGAAGCGTTCAGGTGTTGGCGAGCGCCACTTTCGGTGTGAGGAGGATCTCTCACCCTAAGGCTAGGAAGCTGGATTTTAATTTGGAAGCCTGACAGACAAAAACGGGCCGCCCGAGAAAAAGACGCCTTGATATGGCTGTCAGCAGTTATCATTCGCGCGTTGGCGAGGTTTGCCGTGGTCAGAACATTGGCGAAATTTTAAGCGCATCCTTGCTTCTGCTCATTGTAACTTAGGCATTCTTGTTTTGTTTTTCTATTTTGGTTTTTAAGACAAAATATCCAATGGTCATCTACTGCCTGCATTATACAATGGTGCATGACAGATATTTTTGACCTAACTATACTGCCGCATTTACTCGCTTGCTAGCAGCACTTTGCTAAACTTAACTAGTGCTGACTGGCTAAGTTATGACTCAGTTGGTGTTAGTCTTTGCTGCCTTACCTATGCTGGCTAACGATGCCTAAAGTATTACTTTGGTTGGATGCTGTTGGCTAACTATTGACAAATGTGACTTAGTTTTGTACTTACTGGCTTATAACAACTATAGTGCTGTCTGATTTATGATAAATGTAAACTATAGTGTTGTATAAGGCACCCAAATCTGAGCACACGGGCCTACAACATTTCCGCCTCCATCAGAAATGCAGCCGCAGCTACCGGGATTCGATCCCGCGTCCTGCGGGTCAGCAGCCGAGTACCTTAGCCACTGGAACACCACGGCGGGGCTTATCAGGCCGTTTGAAAGCCATCGATTAAAATCTGTTCACTGACAACCCACTGTGACGACGCAGAAGAAATGTAAATTCGCTCTAAAGAGTTAAGTGTGTCTATTCAATTTAAATCCAATGATTCTAATCTCAACAAAATTATTTCTCACAGAAAGGCTCTGGAGGTATCAGTGTCCTTTGCTGGGCCGTCTTTTCATGCCAGTGACGCTTTCTTTTTTTTTACTAAAGAAATTCCAGGTTCAATTTTCTGCGGTCATAAAACGCCAGGACGGTTGCGGAGTGTTTCGTGTACCTGCTGGTAATTTCATTTTCATTTCGTATCGGAATGACTTCTGGGAACTTTGGAATACGTGTTGTAAGGTTTGTAAGCAGGTATGTGTATCTGCAGCGTTA